TAATATAATATTTGTATATGAATATATTTAAGTTTTTGAAATATGTGCTAAGCAGAATTTTATTAAAATATATTTAATTTAAATTTTAATTTAATTTAATTTAATTTTAATTTAATTAAAATATATAAAATTTTATTTCGTTCACAGTCGACAGAGCTTACGCCGTTAAGGGAGCTTTTTGAGCTTCTCCAGATTAAGTCCGAGCTATTTGAGCCGAATCAGCCTCAAACTAGTAACTCTGACCCCGAAAGAATATCAACTCCACAGCCCTCAGAAGGCCAGGAGAGTTCCAGTTACGAATCCCAATACGATGGCAGGTAGGCAAATAAATCTTATCGAGTTTATCGAGTTTGCACAAATAAAAAAAACATTAGACAAAATGTTTGAAAAATCTTATGTCTTTCAGACAGTCCAATAATCCTGCGGACTGTTGCTCAGTCCTCATTAAAACAGAAGGTTGCGAAGAGGAGCCGGAAGTGGATGTGGAAGGTGTGGAAGGCGAAAGTCTTCTTTCGGATAACAGAGAAAGCAGCATAGAACCTCCTAGAAGAAGGGATAGTTCTGATCCTGTTAATTTGAGTCTCAATTCCGGCACTTCCGTCACAAGCGATAGCTCACACGATATAATACACAGGTTAGAGAATGTTGACGTTATGTCACATAATCGTTACGATAGTAATATAACTATTTAGTTATTTTGGATAAGCTATATCCAATAGAGCCGCGCGATCAAATTTGGAACGATAGAATAAATCAAGATGACTTGATTTGACTGCTGCAGGTCTGAAAAACCGATATTCGAAAGGCGAGAATCTCTTGAGGAAGCAGAAGAGCGGAAGAGGCAGTTGGCAGCGCGACTGGCGTTAGGCTTAGAATCTGGGAAGAGAAAACTCGAAGAATTACCGATCCCACCTGCGGAAGCATATGTTGTGACGCCTCATCGAAAGCGAAGACCAGGCTTCCACAATGCTCCCGCACAAAATCCGGCTTTCGTGCCTTTCAATCCTGGATTCGAAACGCCCAGAAGATTGCAGGCGCCACATCCCCTGAGTGTTTCGGCACCACCGTACCTGGTTGGTTTTTAACACTTTCTGACTTCCGATACCGATATATTTACGATGAGCGTTAATTAACATCGATAAATATGCATAATTTATAAGCTTCTTCTAACAACTTAGTATGGTTTCTTCAAACCAACTTTTCATCTAATACCTGTAGCACCGTTTCTACGTTTTTTTACGAAGTGTTATTGATGCGCAGCAAGATAGATCAGTGACGCCGCCATCACATCGACCGCCAAGCGCTGATCCGACGTCAGCAGCGGCTCTGGAGCCACCTTGGACGGCTTGGACTCTGCCATCTGCCAGAGCGCCACCACCGCCACCGTCAACGGACGACCCGCCAAAGTCTACCCCTGTCCGAGAATATCGATGCAGCTACTGTGGCAAACAATTCGGCATGTCGTGGAACCTGAAGACCCATCTAAGAGTGCATACGGGCGAGAAGCCTTTTGCGTGTAGACTTTGTGTTGCCATGTTCAAACAGAAAGCCCACTTGCTAAAACATCTTTGTTCGGTGCACCGAGGTGTGATAGCCGCTCCCGACAATACGTTCTCGTGTTGCTTTTGCTCATCGTCGAACTTCGTTAATTTGCAGGACCTCATTAGGCATCTCTCGGGGCCGCACAACAATCTACTACTCAGCAGAAATCTACATCGTGAATTTACGAATCATGAATAGCGACAAAGTCAAAGACCGTCCGGTGCTGAAGATTGTCCCTTGAACGCATAATGAGCAGCTTATTTGAGATGCTTTCAAGATCTCTCATTAGGAGGATGCGATCGAGTAACACAATTTCTGTTCAGACTGTTGAAAAAAATTAGTTTATGCAAAATGAGATATTTTAAAAATTCTCTTAGTCTTTGCTATTTGTGATATACAAAAAATTTATATAATAATAATTAT